AAATAGATTTCCCTTTTGTATTTTAAATGCTAAATGCAAAATACGTATTTTCAAAATACTTTTTTCGAATAAATACCTTTTTGTAGTACCTATTTAATTTTCTACATTCATTTAAGTATAAAATATTTTTTAAGAAAATCTTGCAGGGATTTTCTCATTTTTTAAACATTAGAGTTTTTTTAAACTAATAGTGGTGTTTGCATTATATTACCAGCTGCGAAGGTTGAATATGATCCATATTTTGCTGTTTGAAGTGATGGAGATATAGCTTTTCTATCTATATGTTATAGTTTCTTCAGTTAAGCAACAAATAATTTTTCTATATGCTTCCTTATTTACGCTTGTCATCCGTTTTAATTGGAAAAAAGATACTGATATCAAAATAGTTTGTTTAGCGTGAAAGATTAGAGCCAAAATAGGGTTGCAAATAATTTTATTGATGTAAAATCAACCCCATTTTGTTTCTGATCGTTTACACATTGTAATTAGTTTCTTCAGCTTTGGGTTCATCTAATAAGTGGAGTCTTTAGAATCGTTTTCTAAGAATTTTCTCAAAAAAGTATTTAAATGCAAGATAAAAATAGGTATTTTTCATTTTGAATTTGAATTTTAAATGCAAGTATTTCAAATAAATCAGATCTCTGGTTATAACTCCTGGTTTAAGTTAGTTCGTAGATTTCAACGAAATTGCACCTAATGGCTTGAGCTAGGCTTGGCCAGTGGTGCATACACGACGGCAAATTACTTCAATTCGCCCCGAGAACTACATTTGCAGTACCTACCACCCCCTTTAAATTGAGCTCAGACTCAGTTAATCAAAAGCAGAGCAAATAGAACGTATATACCACTCGAGACAACATAACTGAACGTTTATAAGAAAAATACAGAGCGAATGCAGATTATTTTTTAATTTAACTGGTTCTTCCCCTTGCCCCCGGCCATTTTTATTGCTCCACTATGACGTAGTGTCGGCCATCATTCTTTTCCAATTGTTGCAGTTGTCGGCCATCATTCTTTTCTAATTGTTGCAGTTGTCGGCCATCATTCTTTTCTAATTGTTGCAGTTGTCGGCCATCATTCTTATCAATTGTTGCAGTTGTCGGCCATCATTCTTTTCAATTGTTGCAGTTGTCGGCCATCATTCTTTTTCAATTGTTGCAGTTGTCGGCCATCATTCTTTTTCAATTGTTGTCGCATTGTCACCAATGTCGGCCATCATGGTTTTTTAATAGATGAATAGTAATCAATGATTAAAATTTAAAGGAATTGTTTGTAAATAGATATGATTTGATTAATTACAATCATTATCATTAAAGAAAGTTCGTGGAAATTTCGCCACTTTATAATAGCAACTGCGCTGATTAAAGTGGTTAATTATGGGTATATGTTCCTTGCTTGGTTATCCTGACGAGGAAGATTAAAGCAGCAATGCAAACATTATGATGAAGCATAGCTTTTATAGTTATTTGGTTGGTCGATTCGTGAGACATGAGATCTCGTTAAAAATACGTATTTCCAATCCAGCGCTCTTCTCGGAAGTGGCGTGCCGCTTCTGGCTTACATAAAGAAAACCGATTAACAATGATAAATGTACATACGTACCTATACCTAAATTGCAAATTGTAGGACACACATCGTACAGCGAAAACGGTTCGACCCCCCTTCCTTTGTCTTTTAGGGTTCATCTCGGAATAGCTTCATCTTATCGTTAGTTAACATCATGATTATTATTACGAAGACGCTGCCGAAGAAGATTCAGCGTGCGCGCTTGTAACGTGTTTTCTGCCGATATCGCGGCGTGTTATTATTGAGGTCTAGTTTGTAACTCGTTTGAAACAACGATAATTGGTCGGGTTCGAGGACCAGACGGACGACGGGGAACGGATTGGCGATTGTTTCTCGGGAGCTTCTTTCGATGCACGCAAAAAATATTCGCAAGCTGTTCTCTTTCTTTTCACTCCTTTTTTTTTCCCGAACCATCGCCGCGTTATTCGAATATTCTTTCCGTCGTACCTATACAAACTGAATTTTGGCAGATCTCTCATTCGTAGGTGCACCAATTGGTATTGGACCTGTCTAAGACAACTTCTTTGCAGTCTCACATGGATAATTCGAAGACCACACGCGATTGGTCTTTGCTGAACAATTTTTAATTGTAAGGGAGAATTTTAAATGGGATAGTGACTTTGTTGGGTACCAGATACCAGGGCAGGCCGCAAAACCACTACAGTTAATGGTTCCAGTCTTTCCTTCTGGCGAGTTTTCCATTAAACATCACCTTCACCAACTCTTCAAACTACATCTCAGATACCATTAACATGACCTAACCCTAACCCAACCTAATGATTACGTCGGTTTAGGTTTACCTGTAGCTACTACCACATCCTGTCTGTGACCGACTGCAACTGAATAACGACATTTTTATTCGTTTAANATAATAATAAATTAAATGTAAACAATGGGACGCCAACGATTAAAAATAATTCATAATAATCTGAGCTGACCTATTCCAATTGTCCAAATTATTAAGTCATTCGACAAGAGTTTGCTGACTTCGACACTTCCTAATAATGGATTTCTCTCCCGTTTTTTGATGTTATCGTTCCTGAACTCTTTAATTATCATATCGATTGTGACCATCCTTGAGCTGCCAGTTCGAGCACCCGAATCTATTCTTTCTGTTTACATTCACTTAATTATCATTTTCACATCAAAGAGATGATTGTCTTAATAACAAAATTCCAAAACACTTATAGAGTCATGACTATAGTCCTTTATTCATGCAAAATCGACCAAATTTTCACCTAGTTTCCGTGATTACACCATGACCACTCTGGTGATAAGATTCCCCAACAACTGTCGTATTCGTCAACCCCTATACAGAGATTTAACTCTAATTATGCGTCTCACTTAGATTGAATATAACTGTACACTAAAATGTCATCTCATTTAGCTACTGGGGTAGTTGATAAACTTCACATCCCCGTTAAAATCGTCTTAATTCCGCTATTTTTTTTTCCAACGCGAAGAAGCTGTCGTCGAGAAGAAGTTATTAAGAGACGCAAGCCTAACTGCAAATTGCACAGTTGCACTTCGAAAGGGTTTAAGCGGATTATTATACGCTGAAATGGAGTTTTGTCCTTTTTTCTTCCCGCGGTTTTAAAAAAGGATCTCTTTACTTCACGTTCTGCTCTTAGAAAAGATTTACTGGTGCTTAAGCTCCCTTTACATCTAGTGAAGTATATTGAGTGAAATTTTAAAAGTTTGAAGTCGCGTCTTTAAACATACGTAAAGTTCGACCTCTACGGTCTACATAATAAGAAACAAATTACATGATAAAAATCAAATATTGTACGTTAAGAACCGAGCAGTTTACGAAAATTTATGGCTGGAGTTTCTTCGACAGAATTATCAAACTTTACTTATCTGTAATAATTAATTTTACGGTTGAATAACGAAACAAAGTTAGAGAACATTAATGAATGTTGCCTAAAATAATTGAGCTTGCAATAATGTTGCATTTAATGGCTATCTATATTATATCCGAGTTGGATAAGTCCTGCGGAAGATCCATGAAAATAGTGAAGTAATCCTGAATCTAGAAGCTTTAACAAATTACACTCATCCTACATAATATGCAACAAATAAAGAATTGAAAAAATTCTTATTTAAACAAAAAGCATTATTTATTTTAATACAGCAATTTAACTAGCTGCCAACTAGCATTTTTGTGCTATTACATGTCCTCCTGTACGTCCGCAGCCCTGGATAAACGGCCATTATTTGAAAGCACCCTTCAAATAACCCTAAGACCCGCTGACAAACTCATAGACAGAACCCTACTGTAAATGACTTCTACAGCT